AGGAGAAAGTGCCCTGGATATCAGGAAAGGCTCTTCACTGTGCACTGGAACAGGGAGCTGGTCTCACATCCAAGCATGCCAGAGCTCAGGAAGCGCTTGGCCACACGATGCGATTGCTGGGGCGTGCCGGACTGGCGGCTGGACTCGATAATCCTTGCGCCTCCCTTACAGATCGGGGTATTGCACGATTCTCCGATAAACCCTACTGAACGCGGGTGAAGCTAGACACGGGGGTTCGGGGTATCCCGCTTGTCGGCATGTGGGTTCCGCCGCCAAGGACGCCTGGCACGGGGCGCCCGCCCGGCCCGGCCCCGCGCCCGCCCGGCCCGGCCCCACGCCCGCCCGGCCCGGCCGGGCCGGGCGGGCGTGGGGCCGGGCCGGGCGGGCGCGGGGCCGGGCCGTGACCTCGGGCAGGGCTCGGCAGCACCGCCGGAGCCGCTGCCGGGCTCAGGCGCCGCTAGAGGGACCCGCCCGCCCGGGAAAAGGCTCCGCGGCCCGGCACATCCCCGCCGCTTGCCCGGCCCTGCAGCGAGCCTCCAGCGGGCCAGAGCAGCCCCACATCAAACCCCGTCCGGGGGCTGAGGCAAAGCTGCTGTGTCCCGTGAGAGCCTCTCCTTCCTCCTCCCGTTTCATGTGTGCTGTGGTTCCTGAGCCAATAATCCCTCGCTCCTCTTTGGTTTTCTTTGTATAGAAAATGAGAGAAGGCAAATCAGGTTATCATTTCACAGCCTTCCGTGTTCCCCTGAAGGATCTTTAAACGAGAGCTCTTTACCCAACTATACAAAATAAGTCAAACCTGCTACTGAAATAACTTCTTCCCTCACAGTGTGTGTGTGTTGTGGAGTGGGGTGAATAGAAAAGGTAGTTCAGAGGACTGTCACTTGATTTACTTTCTCTTAAATCTAGGCTGCTTCCTTCTATTTCTGTTTTATGCGCTATTTGCAGGTTTAGAGCTTAGAGGGTGTTTCAGTTGCTTTTTGTTATTCTTATCCAGTCAAGTGAAAGAGAGGAGTGCTGGAGTAAATTGTTATGGAGTGCTTTAACATCATGTTCAGTGAGCTGGAGACACAGGTGAGGGCTGGGCTGGGGAAGATTGGCATACACTGGGGTATTTAACTAAGAAGAGCAGGAAACATGGTAGTGGTCTGACTGTGAAAGTTGTAGTTCTGAAATATAAAGCAAGCTGAGCATTTACTCCTATCTAAAGCAAGGGACAAAGTCCCAGTTCAGCTCTCCAGGTACTTGAGGTGGCTTTTGAGAAGGTGGGAGGCTGTTGGAATGTAGATAAGATTTGAAGATATCCTTTCTTACTACTAATTTTTTTTTTTTTTTTTTTTTTTTTTTTTCTTTTTTTTTTTTTTTTTTTTTTTTTTTTTTTTTTCCCTCTGCTGTTTGTACCTCTTAAGATCTCAGTACTTGTGCAGTTCCCCAGCCTCACTGGCTGAGCACAGCTGGTGCTGACCAGCGTTGTCACAGCAGTTTTGGAGAAGGATCATGTGTGCTGAGCTGTGCAGTGCTGCACTGACCCTGCGTGGGATGGAGGTGGCAAAACCACCTCCTCACCCTCTCTCAGCTCCGGGAGGTGCCAGGCAGCTCTGAACTGGCACTTCTGTTAGCTGGATCTGAGCTGTGATGAGTTCAAGTGAGTTTATTTCAAGGCTGCCAGGCCCTATAAGGTAAAAGCTGTTCAGTCTTTCTCCCTGTTCTCTTCCTCCTTCCCCTTCCCTGATTTGCTTTGCTCCACAGCTCTCATTTTCATCCCTCAGACAGTAGCATGTGATTCCTTGTGCAGTTAAAAAGGGATTCCTGTTCTCCCTTCCCCTCCTTTCCCCTCCACTCCAGGACCTCGGGATGAGGTGCTGGCTGTCTTCTTCCCTTAGCTTTTGGTTTGCTGACTATAAAAATAAGACTTACCTGAGATAACTAATTAATTAATTAGTGTTTCTTCCACACTTTGAAAACCAGATGAAAGAAATACTTGTTAAAATGGAGGAGAGCATCAATGAAAGAGGTTTGAAACAGTCCAATAGTAACATATATTTATGTGTGTGAAAAATGAAGTCCTGCTTAGCTGTTGTGGATATATCTTGCTTGGAAAACTGTTTTGGGTTCAAAATGACTGTATTTAATGGCTGTTAAAGTAGATTTGGAAGACAAATCCCCAACATGAAAACATGTAGCTTGAATTTCTCTTACCTTAAATTTCAGCATTTTTGCATACATCCAAGCTGATGGATCACCTCAAGCTTCAGAGGTGAACTTTTTTATGACAGAGAATGCAAGCCCTGTATTGACCAGAGCTGTTGAGATAATTCAACACTGTTTTGCTAATCACTGACATTCTCCTTGAAGGGATCTCTTTTTGTGTCTGGCTGGGGAGCAGTGCTGCTCTGTGTTGAGCCCACCAGGCCGTGAGTCATTTCAGCCTGCCTCCAAAGTAGTAGATGAATGTAAGAGATTTTTTTTTATTTTCCTGTGGATGCAGGCAGAGCTTTGCTGCTATTGGTTAGTGGCATGTGTTTGTGGGGCAGCTGTCTTCCAGTTACTGCCAGACTAGGAACATCTGGGGTGTAAACTGGCTGATTCCTTATTTTGTGGCTGTGGACTGTTTCATGCAGCTTTGTACTGTGAAAGATAGGAAACCAGGCTTAGCCAAGAGCAAGTTGCTTAGCAGACGCTTGCTGTCATACAAATTAACCACAGCTTTTGCATCTTGGAGTGCTGCCAGAGCACAGAACCAGCTATTGCATTAAATGTCTACCACCAGTCATGATCTAAACCGAAAGTGAGAAAATTAATCCCTCTTCTAGCATTACCTTAGCAGTTAGTGCTTTTTGTGGTGTTAAACATGTTTTTCATCTTTAAACCCAAACCATGAAATACAGTTCTGTGTTGCAGAAAAAATAAGTGTACAGGAAGAAAGGAAAACTCTTAATTTAGTGAGGGGAAAATAACATCCATGTATAGGAGGTATCTTGCTTTAAAGTAAAAAGAGAGGCTAATTTTTCTTAGTGCTGCTCATCTGGTGCATAGCAATGAATACCTTCAAAACTATATTTTAAATAATTTTAAGCCTATATTATATATATAATATAGTATTATATTATGAATAAGAGTAGATAGAATTGGTTTGAGCTATTAGTGGATTAAAGGCAGTACTATTTGATAAGCAGCATCTCTGACTGTACACAGCCCTAAGATTTTAAATTCATAATTATACAAATGTACTTTGACTAATGAAAGACAGTACTTTTTTCCCTTGCCTGGAAATATTCCCTTCTGAAATTTTCCTGAGTTGCAGAGTTCTTACTTAAGAAGTAACTCACTTGACTGTGAAGTAAACAACTGAAATTTATGAAACTCATACTTTTGCTAAGTTAGGATAGTAATTGAGGATATAAAGTTGCTTTTAGTCACTGGTGTTCATTACATGTGGGGGATTTGCACCAGAAGGTCTGTTTTGAATTTGGCTGGTAACCTTGGCGGTTCACAGCCCTTGCTGCTGACTTCTGTTTGTTCTGTTCTCTGTAATCTGTCCTCTTAGCCAAGATAAGTATCATCAAAGATTTTATTTTTTGGATTTACTTTATGATGGCTAGAAACACTAAATCATAAAACCATTTATGATTTTCTTAGAGGTTTAACTTTCCTGGTTGAGAAGTAAAGTAAGAAATTTGATCCTGGTTCTCCAGAAGACAATGAAAGATCTGGAAAAAAAAAAATTTAATTAATTTTAGGATTTCACAGGGGAGGAGATATTGGTATCTTGCTAGTAATTTTTAGCAGTTCTGCTATTGGTAGTACTGTCTGTGTAGTAGGACCGACACAAGTGTTAAGGTTCTTCTTAATCTTTACAGGGCTGCTACAAGGGTTTCCTCTCACTTTCTTGCAGGATTTACTCCTTGCTGTGCAGAGTTATAAAGAACCCTTTTTGGTTTTATTTTTTTTTTTTTTTGTTTTGTTTTGTTTTGTTTGCAGCAGCAGCTACAGCAGTGATTTTCTGTTTCTCTTCTGCGAGGGGAATCTGACATGCAAAGGTTGAGTAGTAATGTGTAGTTGCCTAGAAATAATGTGCTGAGTTTGTAACTACTGGAGAAAATAATTTGGTGTGGAGCTATTTCTGTGCACCTCCCCAGCACGGAGAACAATCAGGCGCCAGCTGAATACAGCGACTGCCAAAAGCACATTTGGATGAGGTGGGTGTTTCTGGGTGGTACAGTCATGTGTTAACAAGTGTGACTGCATCACTAAAACAAATGTGTTTTTGAGTCCCCAAGCTCTTTGTAGGGGCATGCCATCCTCAGGAGGAAAGGACACCAATAAAGCATCTGGCAGGGAGGAAAGGCAAAGAAATGAGTACAGCACAATGAGGTGTATCTAACTGCTTGTTGCTTGTAAAAACCATCCACCTGAGCTGGATATCGTGTTCATGGCTACTTCAGGAACAATTCTCTGTGAAAGATGAAGTGGGACTGGGTCAGCTGTTGCAAATCCAGTCCTCTGGGTGTTGGAAGAAATCTAAACTGATGGGTGGGCAGCAAACAGCAATGGGGAGGGCAGTTGCAGCAGGGATAGGAACCCAGGAAGCTTTGTGCAAACTCTGGAGGACATGTAAACCCTTTCCCTGAAATATACACACAGACTCTTCTGACGAAGGTGGGAAACCAGACACTTTTTTTTTTCTCTTTGCTGAGACTGAACTCTCACAGGGCACAGAGCTACTTGCAAAAAATCGTAGCTTCAGTGCATAAAATAGTACTCCTTGAGCCTGGTGCTAAGGTCCAGTGTACTTCATGGGGAGGGAAAGCAGAATCATGCAGACATCTTAATGTCTATCCATTTTGAAAGGGGAATTCTTGTTTTTTTTTTTCCTGGATGCATCACATGCATGGGTAAATGCTAGAGATGAAATGATACTGTGTGGTGCTGTGTGGGGAAGTGTTTGGCACAGTAGGTTCTGTAAGGGAACGAGTGATGAGTCGCAGTCAGACACCAAGAAATGATGGTCCACAAGCCGCAAGTGCTTTTAATGGAATAACTTCCCACTTGTTCGATCAGATTTCTTGTAGTTGCCTCTCCCACCTCTGTGTTGAAGGGTGAGCAGATACAGCTCGGTGAAAACGATACAAAAGAAACCACCCTGCATCTTGAGAAATGTTTAGCAGCTTAATTAGTTTCAGAGTATAATACTGTTAACAGTGCATAAATGACAGCTATTTTCTGTTTATCTACATATGGTTCCTTCTTTGATCTTCACTCATTATTATTTAAATGAGTATTTTAAGTATCTTTTCTCCTGAAAAGCAGCCCCTATTTTTCCTTCCAATTTGATTTTACAAGATATTGTCAAACGTCTTACAAGTAAGAGGATAAACAATATAGTCTGTACTCCAGCAGCCATAAAGGGAGAGGTGGGGGGAGAGGAATGGATTCCACCAAGACACCCAGGTTTATGACTCAGGAAATGTGGGAAACAGAGGTCTTCAAGAGTGAACGATTTTGTGGGGTTTTCTGTACTGCCTCCTACTAATCTGCTAATCCTTTTGGAAAGCTAAAATTCATGGCTCTTTCTGGAGACAGCAGAGCACAGCTGATGCTGAGAGCAATTTTTTCTCTCTGCATAATGCAGGCAGTGCTGAGGTCATGGGGGCTGCAGAGGCTGTGCTCTGACTGCAATGGTAATAAAGTGTGCTGGCTTGCACTGAGCATGAGCCAATTCCGCTCTGTCGCATCCCAGTATCTTCAAAATTTAGCTGTGCCACTGCTGTGCTGAGCTCCATGGTATGACAAGTGAGCTTTCCATTAGATTTCTGGCTGTGTTAAAATCAACAACCAAGCAAATGCACTGTTTCTGCTAATTCTGAATTGCATTTCATTTGGACCTTGATGTGAAAGCAGAATACAGTAAGTTGCAAGTAACAGAAACAAATTAGTCCAGTATCTCAAGTTTTAAACCTCGTCATCTTGCAGGAAACCCTTTTGACAGCTGTTGTGTTAACTGGTAGCCAGTGGGGAAAATACAAAAATTATTACAAACTCCAGAGTTTGTAATACAGAGGAGGGAGAGGGGGAGAGACAAATGACAGTGTTGACTTTTTTTCTGTGTTTTTCTTTTTTTGTCTAATACAAACCACTGAAAGTCTCTTGGAAGAACAATTGCAAGGGCCAGTGACACCTTTCCCCAGCTAAAGGTGACCATGGTGCTGTCCTTTCTCAGTTCCTTTGTGGTGTCCCTAGGCTGGTGGCCCAGGTGCCAAACTGGAGAACCTTTGCAGGAGGTTGCTGCTGTGGAGTTTGTAATCCCTGTAAGGAGCCTCAAGTATCTGTTCCTGTGAAGCAGCACTGAATGTCTGACAAAGAATTTGAATCTGGGCTCTTAGTGACACAGCCTGAATCTGTTTGTCCTGAAAAGTGCAAAGCCTGGGCTTTGGTGTGGCTCTTAACAACTTAATGGCTTGGCATCTAGAATGTATCAGTCAGGATTGGCCAAGCTGCCATCTTTCAGGCCTTGGGAGGAATTTGTTCATAGAGGACATCTTTGACTAAATAAGTTAGGGTGGGCTGGAGTTCCTGTAATGCCTTTTTAACTCTTCTGGGAATGGGGATATGGATGGGTGCTCTGGGGACAGGAGGGGTTTAGAGGTGAGCTTCTCAGTGAGTACTCCACAGGATTCCCTGCCTAGGTGTGCAGTGCGTACTGAGGTCAATCCCTCTTCCCCTGCTGCAGAAGGTGCTGCACAGCCTTTTCCAGAGACCCACACTGCCAGCACTTTTGTGCTTTCTCACTTGCTTGGAAAGGGAGCACAGCCCTGGTGCATGGGGCAGTTGAGAAAAGGTTTAGGGCCATCAGGCTTCTGAGGATGGAGGGCTGAACTTGCTGAGCTGGGGCTGTAAGCTCCAGTTCTTCAAACCTCACTAAGCCACCCTCTGTCAGAAGTGGTCAGCCCTGGTATGAGCTGTGGCTGGTTTGGTGCTGCAGGTCACAGGTTCTGTGCCTGGCCAGGTGTGAGGACATGGAGAAAGGAGTGCCTCTTTGTTTCCTGCTTCTCTCCCTTCTAATATCTCCACAAGGAGAACCGTCTGCTCTTTAAGAGCCTTCCCTTTCCCACAGAAGTGGTATCTCCGAGCACCAGGCACTCCGTTCACCCAGCTCACTGGAGGTGCCCCAGATTGTTGGCGGTTTCCCTTGGGCTTATGCTCACATCTGCTGTGGGTGTGCCATGGCAGAGGGCTCCCAACACTGGCTTGCTATAAAACTGGTAACTCATGAAAGCCCTGTGCCTGCTGCTGGAGTGCTGTGTAACACAGGGAAGTTCACCTATGGGACAAGGCAGGGCTGCAGCTCACTGGCTTAGGATGATTGTAGATATATTTAAAGCTACTACCCTTGACTGTGAATGGCTTGGCTCTATGCTGCAGGCCTGTGCCCGATTGTTAAAATCATGTTGTCATTCTATGATGTATTTTCTATCTTATATCAGTAGGGTTTAAAATGTGTAAGTTGTTTTACTTAACATTTCATTGATGACTGAGGGTTACTTTTAAAAAAAGTTTTGTTTCCTTCTCTATTTCAAATGCATATTTCCTTCATTTTTAAGGTAATACCTTATGCTTCAAGCTAGGCAGCTGTGCAAATCCCAGCTGGATCACAGCTACCCCTTTTTCTAGAGCAAAACCAATCCCAGATGATCCATCTCTTTAAAACTTGGGCAATTAATGCTCTAAATATTACCTATACAAAAGAAGTCATTATAATGTAAATGCAGAGTCCTGGTGCTTTGCCTTAAATACAACAAATGCCATCTCAGTTATAGAAATTTATACAGGTTAAAAAATAATGACTGTGTTCTCCTCATATGAACAAAAGCTCTTAAAGGTATTGCCCGCACCGTACAAGCTTCTGGAAGGCTTTCTTGAAATCTTCATTAAAGATTGTGTAGATTAAAGGGTTAATAAGGGAGTTTATATATCCCAGCCATGCTAGGAAATTAGACATGTCTTCTGAGATGTGACATGTTTCACAGGTGTTAACAACTACTTCTTTTACAAAAAATGGGAGCCAGCAGATCACAAATGCCCCCAAGATCAAACCCAGCGTTGTTGCTGCCTTTCGCTCTCTCGTGCTGGAGATTCTCTGTTTTTTCCAGGACTTCTCGTGCTTGGATTCAGACCTGGGACTTCGTAGGGTGATGTTGATTTTATCAGAGCTCACCAGGGGATCTGAGGTTTTCTCTGTTGTGCTGGGCATTGAAGCTGATTTGGTGCTTCTTTCACCTGCGTCCAAAAGGACTTGTCCATTCACCCCCTCCTCCCTCACTATCCGGCTGACGCTTCTCCTGTGAAATGTCTTTGCTGCTTTGTAGATCTTGTAGTAAAGGATCAGGATCAAGGCCAGTGGGATGTAGAAGGCGCCAAATGTGGAGTAAATGGTGAAAACTATGTGGTCATGTTTGATGATGCATTCATCCTCCCTGCTGGTTGTCTGGTGCCTCCAAAACAAAGGTGGCATGGAGATAAAAATGGATATGATCCAAACAACTGCTATCATGATGCCAGCGTGCTTTGGTGTCCTTTTCCGGGCATATTCCACAGCATCTGTGATCGCTCTGTACCGGTCCAAAGCAATGGCAGAGAGGTGCAAGATGGAACAAGTGCAGCATGTGATGTCCACGCTCAGCCAAATGTCACACACCACCTGCCCCATGATCCAGGTCTCCTTTACGATGTAGACAATGCTGAAGGGCATAACCAGGACTGCCACAAGGAAGTCAGTCACTGCAAGAGAGCAGATTAGATAGTTGGCGGGGTGGTGGAGCTTTCTTGTCACAATTATTGCAGTCATCACGAGAGAATTGATGGCCGTTGTCATTAGAGCAAGCACAGACAGGGTAATGGAAATGAGAATCTTGGATGTTGCCCATTTGAAAGGTTCTTCTGATGTACTGTTTTGTTCAGTTGAGTTTATTAAATCCATGTTCCCTTTTAAAGATGATCTTTACCCGTAGCAGTTACCTGTTGGAAAAGTAAAAACATTCAGATGTTGCACCCTTGATTTTTGTCATGCTAAAAGACTGTGGGCCCTAAGCTTACAAGAAGTTCAGACTTATGATTGGAAATTATGCTGGCTCCAAATTCTAGCCTTGTTCCTTGAGTAGCTAAAAATACTTATTTGCCCTCTAGCTAGAAGCACTTTATTATGAATGCTTTGTAGAGGAGTCCTGAAACTGGTTTAATGCAACCAACCTCATCCTAAAGTAAGCCTTATTACTACTTTTAGGCTTGTGCTGTCTGCTCCACTAAGCAATGTAATGACTGTTGAAAACATTAATCCAGCAGGCATAATGCTTATTTTCCCCATATAAACTCATTTTCCCCATCAATAAGTGACTCATTCCTCGTGTATCAGCTAAACATGGGATTTCTTAACTGGGACATAGTTTTGAAAAGAAAATAAAAATGTGAAACATGCCCTAGAGTGACACCATACGAACAGGAGAAGAAAAAAATTGTGTGATGTGTCATTTTATGTCTTCCTCTTACACATCTCTAAAACGAAACAGCTTAATATGTTTTAAAGCTTCAAATGTTTCACTTATTGTCTAATTGAAGTATTATATGTACATTAAAGTCCTGAGAACATATTTAATTTTCCTCAAGTTTTACTGTTCTGTGGTTTCTGCCAAAGAAAACTGCAGAAAACTTGGATGCTACTTGACTCTCTGCTAATGGCTCTCTCTATGGAAATAGCCTAACTCTTCCCATGGCTCTGCAGGAAGGAAAATGCAGAGAAATACTAATGAAATAAGTTCTTGGTTGTGTTCTGGGGATACATTCTTACCAATAAGAGTTTCTGAGTACCCTGCAGAGTGCAGCTGAATTGGAGTTTCCAGCTTTTATTGTGAATGACAAGCTCTGCTCTAAAGAGGATCAGGTTTCGTCCTCTAGTGAGTGTTGACCTGCAATTTCTTGTGTAAGATCTACTTGATGAACACCTAAGTGGAGTTATCTCTCTCAGATTTTTGAGTGTAGTGAGTGAGTTGCACTTGTGTTATATTGGATGCCACATGTAGGGAAATACGTGAAATTGGTGAATAATTTTTCTTTCAGAAATTTGGTTTCATTAACATAACTAAAGCTTTCTGATATTATGCTGGAGTGGCTGAAAAATAATCTCATTTACAGTTTATAACCTTGGACCCAACTCACTCACTTGGTTTGATATTTTAACCCAGACAGTGCTTAATATGATACTGTCTGCTCAGAAATGTTTTTAGCACTGGTTGGCCAACATTTAATTGAATAGAAATATAAGGAAATTAAATATATTTTATATGGTGATATGCTGAGCAGGTACTTGTTCTGTACATGAGCTGATTGCAACATGTGTGTGCTTTCTCTGTTCCTTTCTCTGAACTTGAAATATACATCACACATGTAAAAATAGATCTTTCATCATGTCAGCATCACCTTAAAACTTTCTGAATCCACACTAATTTCTGTTTTGCAGATTTTTGTCTATACCTACTTGCCTTCTAGGGAAAGAACAGACACATGTGCTACTATTTGGTGAATGTTCAACCTCTGCTAAATAAATCTTCCTTTTCAAGCTTGTGCATATACATAGGGGAAAATGTTCATTGGGAAAAAATGAAGATATCTGTTGATATTTAGCAGTTGATCATACTTTAAAACAGTTTCTCATTATGGTTAATCACCTTATAAATGTATAACTCTTTGGATATTAGTCCTTAATTGCAAGCAAGGAAAAAGCAATTTAGAACAAATGAAAGCTGATTAATCATTTTTGAAAGATTCTTCAGTTTGAAACTGTGGAGTAGGGAAGATAGTATAGGTAGATTTGTAAAAGTGGCATGTAGGAATAAGTAGTTCCCTTAGTGCTGCTGTGATTTGGAGGCTCTTTATGAGAAGCACAGTGGCAGAAAAGTGCACATTTCTGTGCAGTGATTATGCCTCTCTGTGTGGAGGCAGAGCCAGGCAGAGGGCTGTGCTGCTTAGGACTGCCAGTCACAAAATTTGGTGGCTTTCCTTGTTGAGTGAGGTGGGGATCCTTTTCTAACTGGTGCAGCTTTACTGGGTGATCATTAACTAAAAAGATTGTTTTATAAATATGTGGAGTTGAAGCATTGGCAGTGTTTAATGACTGCTGCTTCTTTCTCTTTTGATAATTGCCAGAGTGACCTAATTCTGGATTTTTTCTTAAGTGGAACTCAGTTCAGTCAGTTGCTATGGCTGGCTTCTGTCCTCAGCAAGCAACCAACCCACTTTTAGAAGTATGAAGTATGATCCTGTAGACAGTGCACTGGATTAGAATGTAGGAGAGCTGGCCTCTGCCCCTCTGCTTTAGCCTTTCCTTGTCAATTTTTGAGCAAATTCATTATAGTGCTTCCACTAATTCACTGAAAAACAAGAGGAATTCCCTGGAACCTTAGTTTGTTTATTTTTATTGCTTTCTCTTAGTAGCATGATTTATCTCTTGTGGAATGGGATTAGCAGCGACTATTTTAAGCATGCAGCTATTTTCAGAATTACTACAGTCCAGATGTTTATAAGGCTACTTTTGTGAAGTTGGCAGCTCAGTGCCCCTCTTGTAGAATCTTTCAGCTTATCACTTATCAGTGATAAGCTCAAATTCCATGGCACCTGCTCTTGCTGCAGATGGAAGTGTTGTTTTTTATTATTATTACTATTTCAATACTCAGCTGTTGTTGGAAAACTCTGGAAAGACTTGAAATTTTGATTGCATTACATTGTCCTGAATTCAAGACTGGTGAAAATGGTGTCTTGTACTTTATTAATTATTTATTATTATTTATGATTGTTGAGCAAGAGCACTGTAAACAAAGGAAGCTGCTGTTCACCTAAGATAGCATGCCTCTTATCTTGGACACAAGAATATTATTATTAAGGAGGAATTAGCCACTTCTACATATCTTTTCTCCTTCCCTTCCAGATCTGGCATATTAAGGTGACCTGAATGTAAACACGCACATATATCATCTTACTGATCATGTCTAGAAGGCAGGGGTAAAAATGTTTGTGCAGCTTTATCACAAAGTAAGCATTGAGTTTGTATAGTGGCCACTCAAGAAAAATGGATGTTTCTGGTGTTTCAGCTTTTCCTGGGCATGTGTGTGTATTATTAAGCCCATAACCCATCATTTGTGACGAAGATTTACAAAATAACAATGTAATTGCTCTTGTTCAACAGCCTTAGTGTGCCTTTCCAGGTTTGGAAAACAGTACTACTCTGCCCTTGAAAACATAAAAAATAATTAAAAATCCCTAATGCTGGAGAAACATTACTAGGAACACCTTTGGGAAAGGCATCATCAGTCTGCTGTTTGGGGTTCTGAATGTAGATTGAACTGCTAGAAATGTACAGCTCTTGATTTTTGGGGCTGTTTTTTTCTTTCTTTTTTTTTTTTTTTTTTTTTTTTTTTTTTTTTTTATTGGTAGGGAGAAAACTTGCTGATTAGGGTTTAATACTGCTTTTTGAATACAGGTTTTCTGAGGGTACTGGGAGGGGTGGGAGAAGGTGTTTGCTTTTTTTCCATGTAGGTTCATTAGCAAAATATGTCTTAATTAAAAAACAGTAACCGTAATTAGACAGCAAAGTAAGCCAGGGATTGTATTGAGAGCATTTAAACTGCTACAGGCAGCAGTAGCAACCTTTGTGCTTTAAGTAAACACAAAGTTGTGCCAGGGTAGAGAAAGCTCCTACTTTTCTACCTTCCACCAGACTTAGCTGTCTTTGAAATGAAACACTTCACTTGCCAGCAGGTGTCCCTTGCTCTGTTGGCCACTCTGACCTGCAAGCCAATTGGATCTAAATTTTTTTATGATGCTTTAAAAAATTGTACAAATACCTCCTAATGTGACTTCCTAATGTGTTTAGATATTGATCGGTGATGTACTAATGACAATTAGCTTCATCCATCATATTAAGTGTGAGTAGAGGGAAATATTGTTGCTTTGGATTAAAAAAATCCATTTAAGAAAGATGAGCTTGTACTTGGATCTGATAGGGGATGTGTACTTGGAGCTTGATCTCCCAGGTCCCGACAGAGGAGGAAGGGTAGAAGGACACTTTCACCTGATTCTTGGTGTTCTTAAATTCTTTCTTGCCAATAACTGTTCCTAAGGCTCCTAAAGTCACAGTGCCCTGGGAGAAGGCAGGGAAGGTTTGTAAGGGAAGTTCCTTGCCAGCTGAAGGCTGCTGCAGCAAGCCTGCCTTTCCTGAAATGCAAAGTAGATGTCTGTCAGCAGATTGAAGTGCGAAGCAGAAATTACAAGGTTGCCAACTCTCCTTACCCAGTCTGCATTTTTTCATGCTTAAAACCTTGTTTTTTTTCTTTTTTCCCCCATATCTGCAATTTAACTCAGAGGTAGAGTTATTTCCAGTTCGTAATCTGTCAGCAAATATTTGTATATGCATGCTAAATTAATGCTTAAGATTCCCTGTCTGGGTGGTGTTATCCAGTCCATGGGACTGAGCACAGTTTTGACCTGAAATGTATTGGCAACTGGAGGAATATCTCAACAGTTGTTTAGTTTTTGCTGTATGACTCTCCACAAACTGGAGTTATTTATAATTTCCACTTGTAAAAGGTCACAACAGACCTAGAAACACAGAGAACAAATAACTGCAAAATTACAGGCAAATCAATTGAACTAATATCAACTAAAGATAATGTAGAATTCTGTCTCCCAAGCACGCCTCAGCAGAAACATGGGCAAATAAATAGTCTTTGCAGCATGCTCTGAATACCAATATAACACAGGAAGGAAACATCTGAGTCCTGGAGAATAGGTATCTCCATGTCTGAGCACAGGCACTCTGATGTTTTACAGAATGGCAAAGTCCCTTTCTCAGCCTTGAACCTGTATTTGGTGCTTTTTTCAGCTGTGTAACAGTCTTAAAAGTCCTTCTGTTGGCAAAATGATGTGGTGCAGTATGCTTTGTGCCAGGCACAACAAGGATTATGGTGGAT